AACGCCACCGGTAATGGAAGGGTGTCCCCGATTGAGAATGGAAGAGAAGCGAGATATCTGAACAGTAAATTGTGGGAGCGCTAACACCGTCATTGCTATGTGTGACCCCGGAGTGAGTCACAGAGTTATTACGGCCAGGGGCGAGAGGGGGGGGGGGTCAGAGGTCATGGAGAGTGTTTTAGCTCAGCTTGATTTCACTTGACGAGCACTCGAAGAGGAACACCGGCCGGAAAGTTCAACAACAAAAAAAAGAGCACTTACTTTATCTACATCAAATCTCCTGAACGCTGAAATGTTTGCAAAGTAACAACTACTGAACGCGTATGTTTGTGTAATATTTTGAGCATCTGTTTGACATTATTTGGCGGTTTCAACGGAGACTCACAGCCACACTCTCCCTGTTTCATCCTTTTAAGATGCAAATGTTTATCTATTCGCTGTATATAAATATATATATATATATACTGTATATATTTTTGCCCGTTTTGCCAAATCTAGCCCGATGTTTCTCTGGAGCGGCCAAATGCTTTGCACTTGATTTCATATGCTGAACCTCTTTATTCGTATTCATAATCAACTCAAAATCTGCCAAAGTTGCCTTTGTGAGACCGCCGTTACCTCAAAACAAAAATCCTGTGAGAACGCCGCGCCCGCTGCGAAGGGCTCCCCTCTTTATTTAGACCGATTCCAAATGCAGTAACAGCACATTTAATGCAGATGTGATCCCAGGTGGGCCTTGCCTTAGTTTTTATATCCTCCATGTCGACTGCACTGAGGCTCTTGTAAACACACGTGGACTTCATAAATGTGTATTTTTGTAAATTATGAGAAAAAAAAAAATAGTTTGTGACTATTTATGCTATTTATGCTGATAGGCATTTGTTTTCTACGGATTTCTGAACATAGTTTGATTAAAGCAGAAGCGAATGACATACAAAGTACGCCGAAAACAGTATCACTAAAACCTGTCTCATAGATATAAATATATATACATAAACTACATGCTATATCATGGTTTCTCTCAGGATTCAGTGTGGCGGTCATTGAATGGCTTTTGTATCTATTGTCCTTTTTTATCTTTATACAGTGCACACGGCCTCCAGGCAGTTTCCACTGTGACTATTAATAAATATCATGTGGTCTCTATTCTATTGTCATGCATCATTTTCAAATAGGGCGCCAGTGTTTTCAGGTCGTCGTATTCATTTAAATGCATTCATAAATTTACTTTAATCTCACATTGACTTCCTTCCACTCCATGTTCAGCTCGATGCCTCTTTAATCTGCATGAAACCCGCAGTGGCCTGCGAGAGGTGCTCGTGCTGGAGGCCTCGTCAGTGTGGAGGTTGACAGTTTAAATCACAGAGATCAAAGTTGACTCAGTGTTCAGGATCCAGTCAGACTTATATCTTAATCATCTTTTTGTGATTCTCAAACCTTTTCATTGTAGTGATTTAAGAGCAATTGAAACAATGTTCTTCTCCCGGCTTCTCGTCCCGCTGGATCTCTGACGTCAGCGTTGGAGGAATGAGCTAAACATTCACGGGCATCTTCCTTCCTTCGTTGTTTCCTTCTGGAGAAGCAACGGTGTGGAAACCTAAACGGCTCCTCAACACCCTGAAGGTCAAAAGAGAAGATCTGTAGAAATGGGGGACGGATTCAATAGAAATGCAGAGGAGTGAAGCAGAGTGTAATTATGTATTTTACAGCACAGTGATTTCCTCTTTGTTTCCTTAAATAATTTCTTGTGAAAATCAAGATTTAAGTAATTAATGGAAGTCAGGTGGTAGCTTAACAATTTCCCAAAAGTCTGATATACTCTTATTATAATATAAGATCATTATACTTACTGATCACAGGATTATTGTGCCATAAAAATTAAATAAATTAAAAACTTTTTTCTCAAGAAAAATGATCTGAAACTCAAAATTAACACAAAAATGACCCTAACCCGCCTGCATGTATTTGCAACTAAACAACTAAAATATCAGTCTATATTTATATCACAGCTACGTTGGCAAACTCAAGAGAGAAAGTCAGCAGGCGGGACCCCCGCGAGGACCCCCGCCGTCGACCGCCGTCTTGATCCAGAAAACAGAGAAACAATGGAGCCGTTGTCCCCGGTCCTTCATGCCGACCCCCATGTATCAATTAGAGGCTCTCTGAAGAGAGGTGAAGATACCCCCCCTCCCTCCCCCCTCTCCCACCGGCGGGGTCGTAGCTTCCCCTTTGTCTCCCTCCTCCGACAGCGTTTGCCCCAAATTGACAGGAGGCCATTTTGCTTTGTTCCCCACAAGAAACGAGGCGATCGGGAAATTCCTTCTGCAGACATTTGCCACCCATCGTGCAGATTAGAGACGATGATTTAATCATTTAGTTTGTGGTCTCAGTTTATGATTCACACCACGCATGTGCTGAAAGGTACTTGCAGTGTTGTGCCGTGAAATTGATATGATGGCACTGTGTTTTTTTTGTTGTTGTTTTCGGATTGAATTCAACTGTTAATGATTATGGAAACAACTGCAAAGAGCCGGCGACAGTGTGGAAATCTGAGTGTTAACAACAAAACAATTGTCATTTGATGATAATAAAACTTTCTAATCGGCTTTTGTCGCCCATTTTCATTCATTCATGCTTTAACTTAGAAGCATTTTGTTGTGTCGTCGTGCGCAGAAGCAAACTAGTGGGAATCACGAGGAAAGTCTGTGTTTTTTTTAATTACATCTTTACAGCAAGAGTTTGCTTTTTGACGTAGTCACTCGTTGTTTATGTGCGAGTTTGGTGCTGATCACATTCAGTCATATTTTTCAGTCATACCCCCCCGATCCGCTGCCCCGAGTGTGTTAACACTCACTTTACCTCCTTCTGACGCTCTTCTGTGGGACCTCCTTCCTCCATCGCCGTTCTGTGCATTGATCAATTGGCCCGAAACGTTTTTTTCTGTCGGGCCGACTGATGAATGGACCCGCCCCCCCGCCCCCCCCGGCCCGTCGAGTGTGAACTTCTCAATTAGAGGGGATCCACTGACCCACGCTCTGTTTGATCACCTTCTTTTTTTTTCGGCTGGAATATCGACACCGCCTCCTGAATTTTGGCGCCCGCTCGGCTCTATCGGGGTGACGTTTGAAAAGCGCCCATTGTTTGGGGTCCGGCTGGGAAGCGGGTTTGACCCCCGGTGCCGCTTTCCGCGGGGTGACTGTATGCTGCAGGTTTGCGTCCCGAGACGACCCCATGGGACCCCTCAACCCAAATTGTCCCTCTGATAAAGGACAGGGAGCCGGTCGCGCCGCGCTAATGAGAAACATCTGAGGGCGCAGCACAGAAAGCAACTGTTTCGGTCCGGCCAGCGCGTTTCACGGGGAGGCCCCCGGGGATCCGCGCCGTCCAGGGATCCCCGACCGCGGTGTTAAACGAGGTCAGCGAGCAAGGTCAGGGATGCCGTCGGACCAGTGGCTCGTTTCGGGACGCAAGCGTCGATCCAAACGGGAGAAACTGGGGCTTCATTGAGAGTTTGAGATGCCGCAGCGGCAGACTTCACATCCAGGTGGTCCTGGTCTACGAGGGTCAGATGTCTTCACTGTCGTTTTAACACACTCAAGCTGGTTTAAACTTTGCCCAAAGAAAAAGTGTTTCGGAATCCGTTTTTTATTACTTCCTGTTGGTGGTCAGGTGATCGTAACTGACTCTCAGGTGTTTCTCTCGCCTGCTGCAGCACCAGCTTGTGATTTAGGGTTGTATTTTTCTACTTTTTATCAAACCATGTAACTACACCCGTGACTGAGGTCCAGTGGAGGACCTTTGTCGTATGTTATCGTTCATACTTGAACCAATAGTGGATTGAATTGGGTGGTTTGGTGTTGAGGAGAATCCCTGCTCCTCCTGGCCGGAGGAGGAGGAGGAGACGCTGCTGCTGGGAGTCCAGGACGAAGACGACCCGCTTGGGTCAAATCTCAAGCAGTTTCTGGCGAAACCATGCGGAGAATACGTCCGTCTAATTCGCCAGGGAATGGAGTCTGACGGCATCCAACACAAATAACGGTGGTCTTGACTGCTTATCCGGGCTCAGATGGAAGCATCAGCATTTGCTTCGAACTGAATCATAACCAGTTAAAAGTACTAAATGTCTCACAGCTAAAGTGTTAGTCAGGCAAAGGAACACAGTGTTGTCAGCATAATGTTAGAAGTGTTAAAACAAAAGAAACAGCAGAAGAATGTGTGAAGGGAAACATCTCGATGGGTTGTGTCCGGGAAGGAGGCGGTGGCGGTGAGGGTTGATGGCGGGGCGGTGAGAGGGGAGGGGGGGTCCTGAGTATGATTTGATCCTGGAAGGCTCAATTAAGTGGTTCGTTTACCCCTCGTGTGGAGCTGGTGAATTGGAGCCAGGTCAGCTCCGGGTTGAGGTGTTGTTCATTATTTTTCCGCCTGTCGGATCCCATGAGCGGCCGCTGGAGACGGCGGCTGCTCGGCGGCCGAGGAGCAAAGGGCCCCGCCGGTGGGGTACGTCAAACACACTCAAAGCCTCTCCCCTTGCCTGGGGGATTAGGATCAACAAAGCATGTCCCACACCTGCACCGGCCGGCACAATGGAAACTCCGCGGGCCAATGGAGACGCAGGGAGAGACCGGTTATTAGAGTCGCCCACCAATGAAATGGATTACATTAACCCCTTCTGTCGCTCTTCCTGCCACAGCTTGAACATCAAACTGACGGACTCCACATCCCATTGAGACCAAAAAAATCCCAGTAACACTTTGTTACTACGGCTTTATTCCGGTTTGTCCACCGATGGGGAAGTATTGTGTCTCCGCTGTTGACCGGCGGCACGACTCGGCCGAGGTGGCGGTTCTACCAGCACCACGTGAGAGAGTGGGACCTCTTCTACAAGCAATGAACGAGGTCTCAACGGGTGAGCCGGGTGTCACCGAGAAGCTCTCCAGGCATCAACCACACCCTTCGGACATGACAGCGTCTGTCAAGTCTGCACTTTGGGGCTTCTGGGTCTCGGCGCTCTTGGTTTTTCGTGCGATCGAAAAGGAATCGAGGCAAACGCCGTTGTCTGCTGGTGGCGCTGCAGCGGCGCCCCGGCCCGCGAGTGTGTTTGGGGTTTCTTTAACGTGTGTTTGGGAACAACAGAGCAGGAGGATACTCAAATATTTTCGGCGACTGAGGGGTGTGAGCCCCCAGGGAAACTCGTCATGGGCGAATTGGACCGAAGCTGGGGGGAATGTAAGTCGCTGCCCCCCCTCCAACGCCCCCCGCCGCCGCCCACCCTCTTTCTCCTTTAATTGGGCCCGTTTCCTGGCACCTCTCCAGATCACACTGTCACTTTACACTGCGTAATAAGCTATTAGCCCCTCTGACACCGCCCCCGCGCTAATCGACATGGACGTGGTCATTGTGTGGGACCGGGACTTGGGACGGCGGCACAGTCCGGCTATTGTTACCGCCTGGACTTTGGAGCCCCGGACACCCACGCCCCCGGCCCGCAGAGAGGGGGTTGAGGGGTGCACACAGGGGGAATGAGGGGGGGGGGTCGATGTAAACAGAGGGGGGAGATCAAGGAGAGGTGAACCCGCTCTCACCGCCCCCCTCGGACACAACAAAACAAACTGTGACACCTTCGGTTCAGCCGTCTTGCTTTGGCAAAAATATGACTTTCTGCTGCGTCCCCAAACAGAGGAGGAACCTGGTTGAAAACCCGGAGAGCAGCAAGGAGGAATCGGGCTTCGGTATCCCGCCACGATCAAGACTTGAAGACTTTTTGTTTCTAGAAAGCAGCACAGAAGCACCGGTTGTTGGTTTGGTTGAATGTGCGCTGAGGAGCGAACCTTCTCAAACACTCAGCGGCTCCCCAACAAGTCCCGACACCGCCAGGCAGAAAATGACGGGGTGAGACGAGGCCTTGGCTCCGCAGCCTGTCTGAGGCGCTGCCTCGTTCCGTCTCGTCACGGCCTCGGGGAGGGAGGTGGGGGGTCTATTTCGTGTTGGGGATGTAACGGCATTGCGTAGATCCTCGACTTGGCAATCGGCACCGCAGGAGAGGTGTGTCGATGGAGCAGAGCCTCATCGGCCCGCTGGAGACCCAAAAGGACCCGTTATCAGAGATGTTCATGTGTGTTTGGAGAAATGCTGCTGGGGGGGGGGGGCAGGCTGGGACAAAGCAGGGAACAGGTGCATGATGGGATGGGAGCAGAGTGTGTGCGTGATCGGGGGATACGTGTCTTCAACAACTTCAACTGGACACTCTGCCTCATAATGTGAGGCAAAACTGTCTATCTATCTTTATCTCTCTCTCTCTCTCTCTCTCTATCCATCCATCCTCACCCCCTCTCACTTAACCCCCCCCCCCCCCCCCCCCCTCCCTCTAATCCAGCCCCCTCTGAGCTCCGGGTCCCGGGGTAAAGGTTCATCCAGAGGACGGAATCAGCCTCCATGGCAAAGTAAGAGCTGAGTTGGTGGGGAGAGTGTGTGTGTGTGTGGGGGGGGGGGGGGGGGTAAAGGGGTAAAGGGGTTGGGGGGCCTGCGTACCCTGCGGGTGGAGATGGATTTGCATGTGTGTGATGTGTTTTGAGGAGAGGGCTTGGGGGGGGTTGTGGGAGAGCATCGTTCCTGAAGGTTTTGAGGAGGCACGATGGATGGGGTTAGTGTGTGTGTGTGTGTGTGTGTGTGTGTGTGTGTGTGAGTGTGTGTGTGAGAGAGGTTCAGTGGTTCCGAGCATCCGAGCACACATTTGTCCGGGTTCACTGCTCCGGGCGTCTGCTGGAGGTCACGGCGAGCTGCTGGTCGAGGCCACAGATTCTGGAGGGAAAGAGGACATTTGTAAAAAACACCCTCGGCTGGTCGGGTAAATATAAACATCACCATCCGCTCTGTTACTGCTGAGTAACCCGTTTACACGACACACAGATAAACTAGTCCAGTCTGGGTTTTGTTTGGACCCTTTAAAACGTGGATTTGGCCATTTTTTGACCATTTGATTGAGAAAGGTAAGAATGGAATGAGTCCATCAGACTTAAAAGTGTAGAATAAAGTGTAGAATATTCCAACTACTACTACGTCCTCCAGCGACTAATTTGTGTATTTATATATGATTTCATTTATTTATCCAGACAAAAAGGAACCTGTGGCTTTGCTAACAATAGGCCTTCATGACAAATGACCAATAATACCATATAAGGCCTCGCGTCCTGCTCGGGGATGAGAAAATGAGTGGTGTGGACGCGGCGTCCCCTGAGCGTCCACATGGGATAACGGAGGAATGATTGGACGCACAGGGGGGGCGTATCCACGGAGACGGACCAAAGACGACGTGGGGATGAGCGAGGATGTTCCCTGAAGAGCATCCGCACCTGCATCTGCAGATGGACGCGGCGATCCGTCGGGCCCGGAGCCCGCTAGGAACTGAGACGCCGCAGGAAGCTGTTTGCCGATTAAGTGTTTTTAACGTCGGCACCATCAGGCTGAGCTGGTGATGACGCAGAAAAATGGATGAAAAGTGAATGAACATGTTGGTCATCCGAAGTTCAGACCCGACCCCCCCCCCCCCCCCCCCCGTCCCGCCGTGAGCCCCGGCTGCCTCACCGCCTCGCTGCCCGCTGGGCACAAATCCAGTTTTCTGTCTGAATTACCAGAGGAAGGCCAGCGGGGTGAGAAGATCTCAGCCCCCCCCCCCCATCTGAACGCCTCGCTGGGGCCCGGCATGAAGCCGACAGAGCGTCGCGGATGGCCCTGGATTGCACCTGCACCCGGGGGGGGGGGGATTTCCAGCCCCCCCCTCCGGGTTCACACACACACAAACCTCCAGACCGTGACCCTCTTTCCATCCCTGTGGGTTTCAATCGGGTGGCCGACAAAAACCGAGGCCCCAAAAGATGTGACCTCGGACCCCCGTCCGCACCGAGGGAACACGAGTCGGGGGTCGAAGGCTCACGAGGAGGAGCGGAGAGAACGAGTTCACGTCCAAGTATATGAATCAAAACGTTCACTTGCCACTTTTGTGGAGACACTGATGATGTTGAGTCAGGGGTTTCCGCGACCACGGCGCTGACCAGAAGACGTCGTTACGTTTTAATGACAAACACAGGACCACCGGACCACAGGAGACCTCTGTTCACGTCGCGTGGAAGCAAAAGTCAATGCTGACTTGTTTTTAACAGCTTCAGTACCAAAAAAAACACGACGTGTTGATGTGTTTTGGGGGGAAGAGTGAAGCACGACGTGTAATTTGCAGCTGCGAAGGCAAAAAACGATTAACCGGAAGGCGCGTGTGACCCTTTCTGCTGAAGCCCTCGGCGCTGCAACAAGCTCTT